TGGGCGTAATTTCAGCAAAATACCTACTCAAGTTGACGTCAGAGACCTTCACCTAGGCCGTTAACCGCGCTGGTTTTGCCGCTTTATGGAACAGCTGGTGGTGTGGGAAGTTAGTTGGATATACATTTATTCGCGAAGCAGGATGTGCAGTAGAGCATATGCCCATCTAATAGGGCTGCTGCTATATTTAGGACTCCTAAAGGTTATCGCACTGGGCCCGGACCGTTCAGAAGCTCGCCACATTCGCCGGCCTTGCATGCACACCATTTGCGTTATGCTACCTATTATGCATGATGTCATGATTGCATTTCAAACAAGTGTAGTAACGTTATACACTGCTCCGTGTCTATCGCATGATCCTTTTTTATGCTCGAACACTTTAACTAAAAAAGATGCAGCAGAAGGGTGGTCCAAGCAATGCAGTGAGATAATAATGGCGTATCTGCTCTGACGTTGATAATTTGTGCCCTCAATTGCCTAATTGGGCTGTAATTTTTAAGGTATTATGACAAAAATTGTAATAGAATGAATATTAATTCTATGCACGAATGTAATGACTCCTTCTTCAGTGGCTCATCCAATTAATTAGATGCAGGGTGTGGTCCATGTAACCTAGTCTGTTTAATGTGTATGGCTCAGTCTTGCAGGCATCACTTTTCCATCTAAATACAATTTTATATCTCACCGTTGTTATGATTGACGGTCAAGATCTAACCATAGTGTAATAAATAACAAGTGAAGACACTTCACCAATGTATAATGCAAACTCATGTAACAACTTTTCTTCAGCTGGAAGTGGGCTATGTAGCTACTCACGCTGCAGTATGACGTAATAAAACGTCATAAAACGTCACTCCCTTAATCATTGAACGTTATCCTCAGCCTACATCATCGTCTTCCATGCCCCGTCATGATTGATTTTTTAATTGACTTAGACATGAAAACCCACGTTTTTTATTCCACTAAATAAAGGTAAATAATCCCAGTCTCTTGCAGAATGCCTTGGTACACACAAAATCAGAGGACATCGATGTGCCACAGCCCGATGAAAGTCCTACTCGATCTAACTGCGCTCTAACATGCTGAACATCGTATCAGCATTCACTCTTATTCCGTAACGTTACTCTCGAGAACCCACTGTTTTTATTGCATGTATGGTCGCTTACTGAATGCATTGTGACAGAACCGGTATGAAAATATTCAAAAACAGAGGACATCATAACACCACCGGCTCCTAAAAAGTGTAGGGTATTTTGACAACGTCTCTAAAACATAACCCATTTTGATCGGTCCTATGAATGACATGGACTCGAGAACCCATGCTTTTTATTGCATATAATGAAAGACAATAATCGTATTTTCTTATAAAATGCGTGAAAAATATTTAAAATCAGAGGACATCGATGTGCCACAGCCCGATGAAAGTCCTACTCGATCTATCTGCGCTCCAACATGCTGAACATCGTATCAGCATTCACTCTATTCCGTAACGTTACTCTCGAGAACCCACTGTTTTTATTGCATGTATGGTCGCTTACTGAATGCAATTTGACAGAACCGGTATGAAAATATTCAAAAACAGAGGACATCATAACACCACCGGCTCCTAAAAAGTGTAGGGCATTTTGACAACGTCTCTAAAACATAACCCATTTTGATCGGTCCTATGAATGACATAGACTCGAGAACCCATGCTTTTTATTGCATATAATGAAAGACAATAATCGTATTTTCTTATAAAATGCGTGAAAATATTCAAAATCAGAGGACATCGATGTGCCACAGCCCGATGAAAGTCCTACTCGATCTATCTGCGCTCCAACATGCTGAACATCGTATCAGCATTCACTCTATTCCGTAACTTTACTCTCGAGAACCCACTGTTTTTATTGCATGTATGGTCGCTTACTGAATGCATTGTGACAGAACCGGTATGAAAACATTCAAAAACAGAGGACATCATAACACCACCAGCTCCTAAAAAGTGTAGGGTATTTTGACAACGTCTCTAAAACATAACCCATTTTGATCGGTCCTTTGATTTACATAGACTCGAGAACCCATGTTTTTTATTGCATTTAATGAAAGAAAATAATTGCATTTTCTTATAAAATGCGTGAAAATATTCAAAATCAGAGGACATCGATGTGCCACAGCCCGATGAAAGTGCTCTTCGATCTAACTGCGCTCCAACATGCTGAACATCGTATCAGCATTCACTCTATTCCGTAACGTTACTCTCGAGAACCCACTGTTTTTATTGCATGTATGGTCGCTTACTGAATGCAATTTGACAGAACCGGTATGAAAATATTCAAAAACAGAGGACATCATAACACCACCGGCTCCTAAAAAGTGTAGGGTATTTTGACAACGTCTCTAAAACATAACCCATTTTGATCGGTCCTTTGATTGACATAGACTCGAGAACCCATGTTTCTTATTGCATTTAATGAAAGAAAATAATCGCATTTTCTTATAAAATGCGTGAAAATATTCAAAATCAGAGGACATCGATGTGCCACAGCCCGACGAAAGTCCTACTCGATCTATCTGCGCTCCAACATGCTGAACATCGTATCAGCATTCACTCTATTCCGTAACGTTACTCTCGAGAACCCACTGTTTTTATTGCATGTATGGTCGCTTACTGAATGCAATTTGACAGAACCGGTATGAAAATATTCAAAAACAGAGGACATCATAACACCACCGGCTCCTAAAAAGTGTAGGGTATTTTGACAACGTCTCTAAAACATAACCCATTTTGATCGGTCCTTTGATTGACATAGACTCGAGAACCCATGTTTCTTATTGCATTTAATGAAAGAAAATAATCGCATTTTCTTATAAAATGCGTGAAAATATTCAAAATCAGAGGACATCGATGTGCCACAGCCCGACGAAAGTCCTACTCGATCTATCTGCGCTCCAACATGCTGAACATCGTATCAGCATTCACTCTATTCCGTAACTTTACTCTCGAGAACCCACTGTTTTTATTGCATGTATGATCGCTAACTGAATGCAATGTGACAGAACCGGTATGAAAATATTCAAAAATAGAGGACACCATAACAGTACCAGCCCCTAAAAGTGTAGAGTATTTAAACAAAGTCTGTATTATACGAGTCATTTTGATCGGTCTTTTCCTTCACTTTGACTTGAGAACCTATGCTTTTTATTGCGTGAAATGAATGAGAGTCATCGCATGTTCATTGTTCCTATTGAATGCATTATAATCTGCAAAATCAGGGGACATCGATGCGTTTCAGCCCGGTGAAATGCCCAGTTGATGAATAGCTGTTTGGCCCATTTTAACACTGCGTCGGCATTTACACAGCTTCCGAACGATATGCCTGATAAGAGAACATGAATTCTTAGGTATCGCGAGCTGTGGGGCCTGTCCCTGTGTTCATACGCTATACCCATTCTGGCATAAAGAAGACATTCTTAGCTTGTAAAGATGTGTAGTAAAAATAAGTTTTTGGTCTTCTCATTATGTTTAAGTGATATTTCATTTCAAGTTGCGTGTAGAGGGATTTATTTTCAGTGTTTTGTAGAAAATAAGGGTGAATTAGCTGCTAAAACCAACACTTATATAACTACAAGCTTGGATAGTAGTTTCTTGGGTTAGAAGTTTTCACTACAGGGATGAAACTTTTGCACTACAATGACGAAAACGTCATCAATCGTCATCAGATATCGTTGATTTTCTGAGAGAGCACTTCCGGCAGAAGAAAACGCATTACACAAAATAATCGAAGTGTCTTCACTTGTTATTTATTACACTATGATCTAACCAAGATAACTTAACTTTCCATATGCACTCTTCATTTAGGTACGACACGGAATAAAATATTTATACAGCAGCCACTGGGTCTCCCCATTTTACCGAGCGATGCTGTTGCAACGACAGACTTTATGATGTAAAGGCCTGGCTACACTATGCGTTTTCTTCGTGCGTTTTTTGCGTGTTTGCGTGTTTTGCGTGATATCGTTCTAGAAAAAAGAACGATATTACGTTTTTGTGATGTTTTTCACCTTAAATTTTAGTTACATAAGAGTTATATTAGCTTTTGTATATAACCAAAGTAAAAATTATATTTTTTATAACTTTTTTCCTAGAACGATATTACGCAAAACACGCAAACCTGCAAAAACGCACGCAGAAAACGCATAGTGTAGCCAGGCCTTAAGAGACGACCCAATATGGACGTTGCAACCATTAAATGCGCGAAACTGAATACACACTTGTAAATCCGTTTAAGTGTGGTTATATGTGGCGCTATCCGTTCACCGCCATGACATCACTTCACAGTCAAATGTCATCAAGTCAACAGTAGCTGAAACGAGCTGTCGCATCCATGCCACTTCTCAAAGTCGTATCCCTGCATGCATTACAAAGGGCGATGCTGATGTTCTTTTCCGTGTTTAGAAGGCGGGAGGGGCTGCACGGTCTCCCGACATTTCTGTGTATGGAAAGTAGCCGTCTTTCTCCCAACCAAAGAGGCATCCGTCATTGTGTTTATGCACCGGTGCTAGACACTGAGTAGACAGCCAATAGTCTGTCAGGCCTCTGTCGTATTACTGGGGTCAGCGCGTGCCAATCGGCGGATCAGTCATGACGTGACAGACGCCAAGTTGTCTGGCATGAGGGCAAGTCACGAATGTCATATGGCACTGTGACATTTTGGTGACTAATACCGTTCGTGGGACACCAGGCTTTCACTGTCTAGGTATTTGTTCCATGAAACCCAGTGAGCATATCGGCGACACGCACTTGACATATCCTTTTCTGTTCTGGGCAGCAGCGAGTACCAGTGGCACGCCCAGTTGATCCCTCTTTGTACCCCAGTGCCCAATGGTCCACTCAGCTGATCTCTTTGTCTCCTTCAGTGGTCAATGGACCAGTCATCTGACCATACCCATCTGTCTTCTTCAGAGGCCATGGGCCAGTGTGTACCCCAAATTAACCCCCCTCTCTCTGTCTCCCCCAGGGGCCAGTGGTCCAGCGTGTACCACTGCCACCTGCGCAGTACCGGGGCGCGGTTCGCCGCCAAGTTCTGCAACAAGCTGCGTATGGACGTGCCGGCTCAAACGGAGATTGTGCACGAGGTGGCCGCTCTGCGCCACTGCCGCCGCTGCCCGCGCATCGTCCAGCTGTACGAGGTGTTCGAGACTGAGGACCAGTATGTGCTGGTCATGGAACTGTGAGTACAATCATATGATATAGTATGAAGATATAATAGTATGTATATAGCATGAAGAAATTCTGTGAGAAACGGTAATTTCTAAGCCAAAGAGAAGAGCTCATGCCAGTGTCCGTGATGGAAGGGGGGCTGTGGGACGTAACAGTTCCGTCACTCGGTGTGCTTACAGATGCAAGTGATTATCCCATCGCTACCACATTTCGGGTCCATAATAATTGCTGATATAATTTCGGGTTTCAAGTTATTATGTTCAGAGTCTTACAGATGTCTTTGATAGTTTCTTAGAAAAAAACGGGACGGTTTGTCTTACTGATGTCTTGATTTCCATATCTAATCAAGGGCAAATAACACCAGAATTGGGCTTACTGATTTACTGCTCCAAAAATAAATGCTTATCTTTCAAATTCAGGTCCTAAGGATCTTTGCACCTCAAAACTCAAAAGGGTGTACACATTTTAAACCGATGCATTTAGCTGATCAATCATAATATCGTTGTCATGTAGCTGTCCCAGCTTAGTGATAACTTATGTATTTACAATGTTTTATTTTTGTTGCAAAGGTCATGAGCGTTTCAGCAAGGGTTTAAATTTCATTAATGTCTCGTTCAGTCACTACGTTATCTTGCAAACACATATAATCCTCGGTTTGCGCATCAAATTATGCCTTTTAGCGTGAGCTAAGCGGTTGATCACGGTATCTGTGAGGTTGCAGCTCGGCTCGGCTGTTGCGTGCCGGTCCCTGATAACAAGCTCCGGATGTGGGCTCCATTTGGGGACGGCCATTGGCCGCCGGCTACCCCTTTCTGGCTCGTAGCTCTCTGAGTTTGACTAATCCTGTCCTGAGACGCTCCTTAGTCGCTTTTCTAATTTATTTCCACCAGCCTGCTGTCCATCCTTTGACAGTCCGAGCGCTGTCCTGCACCCATCGAGCTGACCTTCGACCTAGATGATCTCATCGGCCACACAATTGAGCCTACTTTTCTCCCCAAATACGGCCTGCCTTGTGAGGGTAGGTAGGGGACTCAGTGGGGACTGGGGAGTGGATTTTCATGGCTCACCTTGCTTTGGAGGAAGAAGGGCCTTTCCTTTGCAACGGTAAGCCTATGATTTTTTTCCGTTTCAAATTATTCGTTGGTGGAGTGCAGTGGATTTACCAGACGGATTCAGGACGCGTTCTGATGGCAATTGCTAGTCACAGTGCTCGGCTGAAACTGTCAATGAGCTCGCGCGTTGTAAATCGTGCTGAATGAAACCCGTGAGTGCAATGCACATTAAGCTAAATCACGTCTGATGATCGATTCGATAGCCACCCAACGCACAACCTTCCTGTGGTTTTTGGTGTGAATTCGACGTGTCCGCCACCTTACATGATCCCGCACTGCTGCTGGGACACTGCGCTGCGTACGAATCATCCCCGTGAGCGCCCCAGTGCGGTGCCCTGACGCTCCGAGTATAGCCGCGGGCTGTTGTCCGGGTCGGGTGGATATCATCTCCGGATGGCGCTCCCGGATCTGCCCGGACCCACCCGGAATTGCAGTGCATACATTTGAATCGTAACTCAGCAGAATGACCTGGGAGTGGCGACCAGCAGCAGTTTGCCGTCAGACCTGCGGAGGGATTGACGTCAATTGACATCAATAAACATGAGCTATTTTCGTTGAATGCCCCATTAAGTGATTTATTACGAGCTATATTTGGCTTCTTTTTCACAAATCATGCAATTGGATATGGTTATCTAACAAGAATTTTGGGCTTAGCCCTTGTCCAAATACGTAGAAGTCAGATAAACAATTACGATTGTGACGCGTATAGTGAAACTATGCTTCTGGGCACTGTTGTACAGCCCACCGCTAAAGTAATGTAGGGTTTTACCAATCTCAACGGTTGGCTTTGACTGGCGATTGTTTAATGCGGAGTGATCGAAAAGAAGATGTCAATAGCTAAAATTGCAGCTGCAAGGGTGACGATACATATAAGCTACATTCAAAGTTTCATTGTAGTCTGGCTAATCGTTCCTAAGCTTCAAAAGCAGAACATACCCATGACTGAAACCGCACATTACTTCTGCTGTGGACTGTACAATGTACATATATGACGTATAAAGCTGAACGCTGCATTGATACAGCTCCATCGTAGACATTGTCATTCGCGAGTCCCCAAGTCCGGCCGGCTGTTGTCGTTCGCCACGGGTCAATGTCGGGTCCGGTTGAACCGGCTCAGTGCGTGTGGGGTGGGGGTGGGGGGGGGGGGGGGGCTGAACGAGTGATGTCGCCGAGATAGGGGCTGTGGTGCTCGCTTACTAATTACGTCAGTCCGACGCACTGCCGATCCGTCAGCACGTCAGTGTAGGTCACATCATCTTTGCGCATCGCCGCGTCGTCTAATGTTAGCATCAGTCACATCATAGTGACGCTCCAGGTCGACACATTGAGCTTGTATGTCACAGAAACAGATTAAAGTAGGGGAGAGTGGGGTAATTTGGCCGGTGGTGTAAATTGGCCGCCCCCACCTGTACGAAAGCTGATAAAAGTAAATGAAATAACTTTAGTCTCTATTCATTTGTCATCATCGGAACTAACTCGAGAACAAATGTCAAAACTTTCCCCCTCTTAGTTTTATTCAAAATTAATAAAAGGTGAATTTCGTTAGAAAATGGTAACTTTTACTTCCGTTTAAAAATTTGTATAACATGAAGTATTTGGGCTGTAAACGAATTCCAACATTATAGTGCCATTTTTGAGGGTGTTCAGCGGTTCCAACTTCCAAGAGCAATTTCATCTAGTTCTGTACAGCCATGACGACTTTATAGACAAACATTTTCAGAATGGCAATGTGGGGTTATTTGGCCGGGACTAGCGGGGCAACTTGGCCGGCGCGCTCAGAGTCACTATGCTGGGACGGCCGAGTTGTCATGGTCAATTATACCATAAAGGACATAATTCATGACCAACTTTGACTACCTTGATGCCATATTTCCTATTGGACAGCTGTAAGGGCATGTGACGTCATCAAAGGTTACCTAACGTTTTTTTTTTTTTGCTAATAAATACTTACAGAAAAAAGATACAGCCGCGCAAATGGTCTCATTGTGTTCAGCTCGTCAAGGCGCATTGAATTATATATGTACATGATGACCTTGGACTCACGTAACCTTGAGGTCAAGCGACCTGAGGTAGCGTGACCTGAAGCCAACCTTTGACCTTGACCTCTCGAGGTCAACACATACATGTTTCGATGCGGAATGACGAGAATATTACGATGGTACTTTTAGTTTTGGCCTAGCTTGATTATTTCAAAAGCTATTCGTAAAACTGTCATCGCATCTATAGCCGCTTTTTTGACTATTTTCGACCCCTGTGACGGCTGAGTCAACCTCCAAAATGCTTCACATGCGTCGTAGGACGCACGTCATTGCTGAATGTGAAGCTGACTCGCCTATAACAAAAATCAGGGCCTCAAACTAACACCGGCCAAATTGCCCCACACCCCCGGCCAAATAACCCTGCTGGGGCAATTTGGCCGCTTTGCAGACCTTTGTAATACGTCACAATTTCAATATAAGTAGTTAATCTATCATTTCAAGCTTACTGTCCAAGAAAGTAAAATGTATGCCACACCTTTCAGCGTTGAGAAAATGCAGAAATGTGTTGTCGATTTTTAGTTACATCGTTTTCTAAAAAAAAAGCGGCCAAATTACCCCACTCTCCCCTACATATTTGTCCAAGCATTCCATCGTGTCGTAGTGGAATCAGACAACTGTGTTACAGACCAAATCCAGTGAAAAATGTACTGTCACTTGTCAGTCATAATTACCTTTGCAAGTCTCTCTATCAAATATCTAAATATTTACGTTTAACTTTAGAGTTACACAATTTCCTTTCTTACGCATGATATATACTCACTTACCTACATATAGCGTCGTTGAATACCTACTCTCAATTCACGAATGCTTGTGCTGACAGAGCTCGGATAGCATCGGCCGTCGTATGGCGTTTGCAGCGTTTGTAAAATGCTAGTAATACAGTCGCCATGACCTATAAACGTATAATGCGATGATTTATGAGCAAAGTTAAACAGTAGCTGCCCCGATTCAAGCTCATTCAAAATGTCGTGTTTTTCAATCCATCAATAACTCATGTTTTATGGGTCATTTATGCAGCATTGTTCTCATTTCCTTTTGATTGAAGCAGTCAGTCGGCATTATTGCTTACACTTTCATTTGTTTAATTCCATGAGTAACTTAAACGAACGACATCAGAATTCATCCAGCAAACTATTTAAGCTATAAACTTCAAGTAATGCATCCTCATTCCTCAATCCACTCATGCCTCGCGGGAAGCCTGGACCTCGTGCAGCCCAATTTTATCCTTACTGGTACATCACCGACCTCATAGACACCTTGCAATGGCAAATGATCTGCTCCCGTCGCGGCCAGTGAGTGTGATTGTGATCGCCACCGGAGGGTCCGGCTAAACTCCCGGGCCGACAGCTCATCAGAAGAGGGCATTACTATGGACGACCTTACGTGATTCCGATGGTATCACACGTGCTGATTGGCTCGTCTGCTCCTCTGCCATTCAAAAAGACCGGACGTGTCGAGGGCACCCCTATTATGGAAGCTTTTTTTGTAATAGAGAGGTATATGAAGGACAGGCACTAATGCGTTTGGCTCGAGTTAACGTTTTTATCAATGGAATTCTACAAGTCAGAGTTAATGAATGTCACTTAAAACGAGAGATAATGTGAACTTGGATATTATCAAGATAAATATCAATAGGCACATAGGATCAGACATCTTACATCTAACCATTGTCGTTTGAATCAGTTCACTTCTCAGCTCTAATGCAGATGGATCTAATTAATCATGCTTGAGCGATAACTGAATCTGAATCAGGATGTGTCTCAATTATTTAATCAACAGTCTCCTTTCTAATGATCAATTATTCAAATAGGAACTATGGTAATCGATTCACTTATCAACCACCCATGACCCAACTTAATCAATCCATGGGTGAATATGATGGGACACTGTCCCTGCCATTGTCTATTGATCGAGAGCCTTAAAAACGTTCAGGTTTTGTGAAATATAGGAATTGGTAAGTTAACTGGTCACAGCTTTTTAAAGCTACTTGAAGTGGCCCGTGGCTACTCTACAAGTAGATACTCGTATGTTGAGCCCTCCACACCTCACCTGACATACTATCGCCGTCCCTCTGATATTGAGCTTTGACCTGACCCGTTCCAGGGGCAGCGGTGGTGACCTGCAGGGCATCCTCGACGACAACCAGGTGCCCTACGAGAGTGACGTCATCCGCTTCATGCGTAACCTGCTCGAGGGCCTGGTGTTCATTCACGAGCGTAACCTCGCCCATCTGGACATCAAGGTCAGTCCGAGACGCACGCGCACGTGCTGTTACCATGGTACCGATACCCCCGCCGGCCGGGCATGCCGGTATTTCTTCAGCATCGCGACTGCTACAGTTCATCATCTTTATGCCGCTTCGCGAGGTCGAGTGCTACACTTTACGCTGATCGGTAACCCTGCGGCCGAAAGTACAGAGTGCATGGTCGTCGCGTATGCTATCGGTAGCTATAGGTTTGTGTCGAGTGGTATCGGTTTTGGTTATGCCAGTAAGCTGATGCAACCGGGGGCCGTTTTAGGTATGCATTGTTTTCATTGCCATCGCTCCTATACTGTCGCTCGATGATGATATTGTAGTGATCGGAGGCAGGCGCGATGGACCCCTGATGCAAGCCAGTAACAACAAACCCGCATGGCCTATAGAGCAGCTGCGACAGCGTTCCATGAATTGGTCCACCAGGCCGTGGCGCGATGGACCGCATCCATTAAACATGAGCAGCTAGCGGCCGTCACTGTGCGCGGACATCGCCTGTGCGGGTCGTGCGGTGACCCGACTCTGCAGTACTGGTACGGTTGCACGCGCCCGACCCGGGAAGCATATCTTTCCCGCCACCCGGACCTCGTGTCGAGGTCAATCGGAGCCCACAGAGGTTCCTGGGTGGTGCCTCTTGAACCGATTATGCTCCCGGGGTGGTCAGCAAGCTCAGAGATCAAACCTTCAAAGGCCCGTGGCAAGCTGGACTGAAATATTTCCATACTTATCCATATACGACGCACGACTGTCTTCATTAGTAAGCAAATGACATGAAGATCGTTTTAATCTTTATGGATCCTTGCGAACATTTTAATTATCCATTTGAATTTATTGAGCCCTGCTTAGTAATCCCGTCCGAAGGTGTTAAACTTGCGCGAGATGTCTTTATCCGCGAGCGTTCAGTACGTCCTGATCTGCGTGGAGCCGATTTGAATGTGAATGGCGGCGCGGTTCGTTGCGCCCCTCTGCAGACGGTGCGTGCAGAAGGGCGGACTGGCACGCACCACGGAGGCCGCCGCTGGACGTCCCTTTTTACCGGGTGTGCCGCCGAGCTGCGGCAGGGCTAACGCCTCGCCCGTCAGACGGTGTCTTCCGCATGGCACGGAGCCGCCGCCACCGCCGCTACCGCCGCGGAGACAGAGCTGGTTACGCGGAGGCGGACGAGCGACCTGAGAGGATCTGAGGGACGCACGTGACTACTGAATCTCACCGCCCTTCACGCGGCCGGCCTCGGCCGTTACAAATGGTCTGGTCGCTGCAGCCACCCGTGTTTCGCGTGTTTCCTTGATTGAGCGACGGCTACTCGCTACTCCGTGGGCGGAGAGAAATGGATGGCAAAGGACAGGGCGGGGCCAGATATATCTGGCGGACACACGTAAATGCCATTAGGGAGGAAAATTGCCAGACCGCTATTTATGGCATAAAACATACAAACGTAATGGCAGAATAATAGCATTGGTATGTAAGGCTGCTAAAAAGTCCTTGACATCTCAACCTGCAGTACGATTTATAAACGTTGGAGGCTGAAGCAGAAAATATAATTGTCAAGACAGCAGTGCGTAACTTAAAACCTATTTTTAATACAGACCATCTCATTCATTAAAAAATTGCATAGTTTGATAGACTGTCCTGAATCCTCTGTGATAAATGGATAACCCGGATTCTCAGAAATGCTAAGGGTCTTTGATAGCATACGACAATATCTACCGCGTATAATTGAACAAACGGGCAATCTGCTCCGGAGTGAGTGTGCGCCATTCAAACCAGTCCATCCGGCAGCGGGGGCGGGGGCGGGGGCGGCGCGGGACCAGTTCACGCAACAAAGGCAGTCGGAACAGACCACCGGAGCCGGCGCGGCGGACCGGCGGAGACCACACGGACCACGCCGATGGGCGGTCCTGATAACGCACTCGCCGGCGCACGACAGGGTCACGCACTCGGACGGATCTGAGCACGCGACGTGTGTGAGATCATCGCGGAGAATCTCCTGGCGGCGGGTACCCACTGACGGCTGATGTATGCATGAACATTGAACACGGCCGGTGCATGGGTCGGCCCGCCGCTCCGGTAACTTACCCAAGAGTCTCCTGAACTGAATAGACGTGAGGACGGGGTGACTGATGCAGTCTGTCGGGGCGACTGGTGGGTGACACCATATACCCCGACACGGCGGACGAGCGACAGTATTTCATGGAGGATAACCTCAGCGACTTTGAGTGCGAACAGGGCAGGACTTTCCTCATGCAAAATGCAAGCAGATTGCAGCGATGCTTGTAGCGATAACGCACAAGTCTCATGATGTATTGTAATGCAACGCACATTGTGCAACGCCAGGCGGCTCATGAAATCCAAGCCTGAGATACCGCATTTCTAAAGATTGAGCGTGAAAACTACACATTTCTGCTGCCTTTCTCCATTCATCATGTAGATATGGAAAACAAGACAAGATCCCCTGGCATCGTACTTGCTAATACTCTTAAAATGAACGATAGCACATGTATCGGCAATGTAGCTCACCATTGAAAGGGGTCTCGTTGCGTCAGCGTAAACATTTCAACTTTCAAGGCTCAACGAGAATGTTGCAGATATTTTCGCGTAGTTCTTCCACGGTGATCTCGATAATAGGCATAAGGTCGCAGTTGGATTATCATTATTTACCCTCAGTGTTATAATACCCACACCAGCAAGGTGCTTTTTACATGTGTTCACCATGGATCTTTGCGCACACTGTGGCGGTATCGCAGTTATCCATGCTATCTTTTACCTGACGTCGCTAGGAATAACATATAACCGCTCGGGCATGAACCGTCACATGAGATCATCTTCTCTCCGCCATCATGCCAGAGCTGCCACGCACAACTCATTTCGAGGCCAGCATTCCACGCATGTCCTACCGCTCTGAGGGATCTGCCATCTCGGCCGTTAATCATTAATGGACCATTACCAGCCGGGGCACGCCGTCATCCGGCTCAGTTCGGTCACGGACGTCGTAATTTCGCTATAATTGATTGTAATTAGCTATCGTTTCATTAATCACGCCCACTGTTGAACGTTGAGCAGGTATTTGTCCTGCCCACATGCGCCTTTTGTCTCACGCACACATGCGTGTTTGCTTCGATTAGTCTATAATTGAATGGCTCAGTTGAATAAATTAGTGAATTATAGCTTTCAAACTGATCGCGACACTTTAAACATTCATACTTACTTTGCCTTAAGGTAAAAATTATGTTACACCAATTTTATATTTATTTTTGTGTTAATCTAATGTTGATTCGATAACGTTGCATCGCTGAGCCTATCCGATGAAGACCTTTCCGATATCGTGCACTGCATTATTTTCTCCTTGAGGCCTATCACTTATCTGAGCTAGAGCATGCAAATTCTGATGAATTTAAGATTCAAACGCCTCAATTTTCATGCATAGGTCATCAGTTCTCTTGGTCGCCTGAAGCCAAAATCCATTGGTGCAGTTTCGATCAGTAGGTTCCGTCAGAGGGGCAAGGTCACTACAGCCCTGCGACGTAGTCGTGTTACTCCGCCTGCATTTCCTTCTTATCTGATGGATGAGCATTGCCAATAAATTATCGGAGCTCACCATTACTCTCCGACAGTGCTGGGTTTATGGTGATCGGCCGCCACCCCCGGGTGCCCCAGTCCCCCCCCCCCCCCCTGGCGGCGTGCCCCGCCCGTGACCTTCCTCTCATGTCATACAATCCGCCGACAGACATCTCAGCCCTCGCCGCCAATACCAATGGCCGGCGGCCGGCGTCTCCAAATGAACCGAGAAACAAACTAGCCACAAACACGGCTTGTCAGCGTCCGTTCCGTGCCTGTCGCCGCCGCCGGTGCGATCGGTTCCGATATGGTCTGGCGTTGGTAAGGTGATACGAATCGGCCGTCATATCCACCGGGAACTGTCCGTGAAACTGACGGGCCGCCCCTAAAAACAGCATCCCGCACTGGAGGCCCGAGGAGGACGGTGTCCCTTCAGAGGCGGAGCGGGGCCAGCTCGCTAATGATGTAGCACCGCTGAACATGGCCACAACAGTGGTCAGATGTCAAGGCGAGTGGTCTGTTTGGCCACAGAGCGGGTACCTATCGCGATCGTCGCCTCGTGGAGGCGCTGCTTGGTATGCGCTGGATGTGTGATTCCGGTAGTCGGCGGTCGCTTTTTCCGCGACAGAGGAATGTTTGACCCTTCTGAGGTGGCAGATAGGCCATCTGCACCGGTGCGGATCTGCTGTGACCTTTTTAGCCGTCTGTGACTCAGGCTGGCGTGGCTTTATGGACTATTCGGTGGAAGAATTTGGTATAATGCTGGGTTGGAGATCACGTATCATACCGGGAATCAAAGTGGAATTCAAACACGATGAGAATGAGATTCTTAAGGGGCCCTGACACTTGCACGATTTTGTGGCACGCATTGGCACGAATCGAATCGTGCCCGTGCGCAAACTAGTCGTGAACTGACGTGAAGTGTGCGTTAACTCGTCGTGACTTCGTGCCATGTCGGGGCAAAAACTTTGAAATGTTCAAAGTTTTGGTCACGACAAAATTTCGCAATCGGATCGTGAACTATGCGCAAACTGTTCGTGAACTCGTCGTGAACTCGTCGGGACGGTGCGGGAAGTGCGTAAACTATGCGCAAACTATGCGAAAAGTATTCGTGAACTCGCCCTACCAGCCGGTGCCAATGTGTGGATCTCGGCTTGCTTCGCAGCGCGAAATTTGGGATTATTTGATGTTTTTCCCAAGTCGATTGGACGCCTAGATGGGAAGTAATGACCGAAAATGTATTTAACGGGTCATTTCAGGTCAAAGAGGTCAAGCTAGGTCACACAGGCTCATGTTAGGTCACAGAGGTCAAATTAGGTCACACGGTGTCAGGTTAGGTCACAGAGGTCACCATGAGGTCACGATGGGTCACGCCAGGTCGCAGAGGTCAGCCAAGGTCACGATAGGTCAGTCCAGGTCAAACTGGTCACAATAGGCACGGTCAGGACATTTGTGCCACTGGAGGTCACGATGGGTCTTGCCAGGACACGGAGCTTACAGCCTTACATTAGTGAATGGGAGGTCCCATTTTTATATGGCATGCCCAAGTCGGCACAATGCGCAAACTTGTCGTGCCAATGTGTGAAGTGCGTAAACTATGCGCAAACTATGCGCAAAGTATGCGTGAACTCGTCGTACCAGTCCGTACCAATGTGGACACTGATGGGCACGCATTCGTGAATTATTCGTGAAATCGTCGTGAACTGGTCGTGCACTAGTCGTGAACAGTGCGGGAGCCATCCCAGTTCGTCACGGAAATGGCACGGCTTGCCACGACAAAATCGTGACCAAAAGTCGTGCAAGTGTCAGGGCACCTTTACTGTCGTCACACTCCATTGGCATTGAGATAGCAAGATGATTACCTCGCCAAACTTCCAAATCCGACCATAGTAGCACGACGTTGCATCCTTATTAGCGGATTATTTACCGGCCCCTTCTCCGCATGAATTGTCGCGTCATTGCATCAGCCTACTTCGATTTGCTGTCGTAGACTGCGCTTTTCCTTGCGTCAGATGAAAGGTTTGGAATGCCTCCGTACGTTAGATAGAAGCAGCTGCCCTCGATTTACGCTGCATCCATGAACAATTTATTCCCCGAACTGGAACAGCTATACGTTCCCTGAACTGCCAACTGGAACAGCTACGTTCCCCGAACTGCTTCGTTCGGACGTCTTTTCTGATCACATGAACTTAGCCGGTGGAAAATCGACGCTAGGCGTTCGACGAGTTCTACCGACCAAACAGTACCTATATCGGATTGAAACACGGATAAAACAAGGATTAGTTGGGCTGTACTAATCCATGATATAGCATTAAAATCCTGTGTACTGTAGGCAAATGCTGGCGTTTGAACTGATATTCATGCAATGGCGATTAATGCTAAAAAAGGACAGCTACCCCACGTACAATATTATGCACAGTTTATTTCGTCGCCCTAGTAGAACATATGAATACTCATGTTCGTGTATCGTTACCTCACATGTGTCTGTGGCCTCAGACATGACTGCAGAGGAATTGACTTTGTGCTATGTGTGTTTCAGCCTCAGAACCTGGTGCTGACGGGTGAATTTCCTGACTGCGAGATCAAACTATGTGACCTGGAAATATCGAGAGTCATCACCGCCGGCACAGAGGTTCGGGAGATGCTCGGAACGCCGGACTATGTCGGTAAGCGCGTGCCCGTTCTTACCCACCCTTCGCCGTCTCCCTTTCCTTCCCCTACAACTCTGATGGACCTGATGGCTTTGAAGTTCCCTGTGGTTTTACATCCTCACACCTCCTTTTAGATCTATGTATGTCCCCCTGTAAATGGTCGCGTTGATGGTGATTTGATTTGTGAGCTGTAAACAAGGCGTGGTTCGCGAGCGGATGGTAATGCACTATCAATTTTCGCCATAGCCGCCGGGTAAAGCCGGGATCAGCATTGATTGTATCGGCATGATCACAGCAGCCTGAATGGGAAGTCAGGCTTTAGTAATTGTTCGTCTCATGCGATGAATAAGGGTTGCATGAAGTCACAGTAAAACGGTTACACAGTGCTCAGCCCTTGCATACGTTTTAGTTTAAATGTGTTAGAATGCAAATTTTACCATGACAGAATATGTATAGAAACCACAATTAGCACCAAAGTATATCCAAACCGATCAAAGTTTTAATGGGCGGCTCAGGAATGATCTCTATTCTCTACACACATAGCTTTACAAGCAAAAATGAGACCCTAGAGTCTAGACAGTTTTTCATCGATGTATTAGCCAAAATTTTTTGCTTTCTATGCATCAGAAGCTCAAAGACGAATGTCGTTTTTGAACTTATTGAGTGCTCTGCGCGTCATTTCGGCGCAATGCACTTTCACCAACTGCATTCATGTTTCAGGATTCAGGAATAAATATGCACAAGAAAGTTCACTAGTTGAATGCAAGGTTGTTCATTGTATGGTTTGTTTAAATGCGACATGTCCCTGGCGCAAGGAGGAAAAGCGTCAAGGATATAGGCCCGTTTATGTAGCGATTTATTGGATTCGCAACGAGGCATGTTGTGATTATCTGTTTGATTTAGGTGATGTTTCGTGTCCAAACGCTAAGAGGTCTCTGAAAGATATGCTCCTAGGCATCGAAAGGATTCAGCTCAGTGATGCATTATTCGGATGGCATGCGATGGAATGGAGATTGCTCTCCAGTAAAACAAGACTTTTACAGGCAGATCGTTATGCGTTGAGCTACGATAAATGTTCCAGAGTGATTTAGCGTCGATATTTTCACTTGTAAAGCCATATCTGGAAGCTGTGTTTGGTCGTTTTAGTGATCACGACGTCATATATTCTTGAACCTGTTTGAGAAGGCGGACGGTTGAAACGCCCGTAAAACCGCTTGGCGACTAAGCTGGCGAGGGTGGATATCCTATTACTACGCTAGCACGCAAATAGCAAGTTTATTCGAGAGATATCAGCGAGTGCCGTCGACAGCACTCCTCCCGTCACAGCTCAATTTGAGTTATCTTACAACCTGTCTTATTCATCCTCCCACACCCTGTTTTTTTGCGAGCCTTAATTTCCCGTTCAGACCTGGCTCGAAGCCCTTGAGATGAAGATGAGCCGTCTGCGCTGTCCCAGGCACCTGTCAGTCTCTAACCGTCTCTGTCTGTCTGTTCCAGCGCCCGAGATTCTCCGGTTTGACCCGGTGTGCCTGACCTCCGACATCTGGTGAGTACCGACCATGAGCGGGGCACTCCTTGTCTCCTAGATGAGTTCCCCCGGCTGCCAGTCTCGCCTGTCCTTCCCTATAGCCACACAAAGCCATCAGCAGTGCGCTCCGAGCACAAGCGCCAATGTCAATGTCAAACGCTATATGGTAATCGGACTCGGAGAGATCAATTATGTATGGGCAGGAGAGATTGAGAGCCTACGAATAGCGACAAAATATGCAAGAACATGTGTTTGGTAAATAAAGGTACCGGTTCCAGCCTCCTCCTCTTTGCAATCCGATGAGACAAAACCTGACACACGACAGTACACGATAGCCTGTGTGTGTCATCAGTGCGAACATGATTAAAACTTACGTGTGATTAAATTGGTAAATTGTCTGAGTATTAATTACTCCTTCTTTAATAACTTAATTGACCTATCATCCTTTCCATATTTTTAACGATTTGATGTCTAACATCGCAAAATGCTTCAGGCGCTTCAGCGATTTGATTTGAAGAAAGAAAAAAACGCTGCCCTTCAAGTGGCTACTACTTTTCCTCCAGTAACACCCAACACAAAACACTTCTGATCCTCTTCGGTGTCAACTAAGTCATTCCAAGATACTGCTTCAAACTTCAGGATTTATTTACGATCCACGAAACTGGTAAATCATCCATTATCCCCTCTTCAGCATAATAAAGAGACAGTTATGGAAATGCCACCGGCGTACGTTGACGGACGATGGCAAAGTGACGAAGTTTGGTGTTAGCTTTACTGCGTCACTTCTTTCCCCTCTCGAGCTCTCGGTGGGACTCGGCGCCTACCAGACGCCATCGTCATCGCTCCCTTCGCGAACCCCCCCCCCCCCCGAGCATCGGCAATCATACAATCAGCACCTCAGAGCCGTCAGTGACACGCCGCCGACGATTCAAATCCCAAAAGGAGGCCTTGTGACGCGTACACCACGGCTACGGTCGGCGCTTGGAGGGAGGCGGGGTGGGGTGGAGGGGAGGGGCGGCACGTGGCAGCGGCGTGACGGGTCACTCACCCCACCCCTCCCCTCTCCCCCTATCGACACCTCACAGGGCGTGTCCGATTCGGAGCCGCTGTGATGAGCTCGGGCGTGCCTCCTTAGAGAGCTCCGGCGCCGCGGGCTCCGCTGTAGCTGGCCGGAACGGCGGAGGGTCGTGGGACCATGTGAACCGGCTCGGATGCAGGCAGATGGAGAGAGCTGACACGTGACTGGCATAATTTTTTCGACGTTATTCTATTTCAAAATTTCATGTTTTGTGTCATATATGGGGCATTCCACGTCAAGTGGGACAAAAAATGATCATTTTGAACCTCACCTCCTCCGATTTTTGCGAAACTTTGTGAAACTACTCATCTATATGTGAAAGGAAAAGAGACATATTTTTGTCAAAATATGACGTCACGTTTCCGAGATATACGTCATCAAACATTGACTTAGGCAAGGCACATTATCATCTTTAAAGCGTCATAACCATTGAAGTCTTAGACATATCACCACGAGACAAAGTGTGAAATGGAGGGAATAGGTCAGGCTTTAATTTGAGGATAACAATATTGATGTAATTAACTAATTAGTGAACCTAATTAAAATTCAAAAAATAGATTTTGATTTTCCAAAAAATGGGTACCCTTCGATTTTGCTGATTTTTACATATTTTATTCTCCTATACATTAGCTACATCATATAAAAAATCCAGAATGGGCCGACGTCTACGTAACTGTTTTTTGGACTTCGTAATGTCTGGCACTCGCGTATTTCGTTTTAGCAACCAAGGAGAGGCGCTACCCGGAGATGCTTCTTTCTACCCCAAACCAAAGCAAACAAACCTAACCTGACCTGACGAGACCTGACCTAATCTAACACGCGTAAATATGTAACGCCCTCACGGCAGTTGCCGACTGTCCAATTTCCAAATGCTATACCTAGATACGAACATTAGCCCTCACGACAGTTGCCGGCTGGCCAGATGCTACTTAAAAAACAAATGCGTGTTAAACACTTCAGGCTGACCCGCTGCGAGTCAGCGACCTTTATTAGATTTCGAGGTGGGTACACTCGGCACACTTACTACTAAGCCACGAAGATAGCTGGTCATCGTAAGCCAGTTTTTTAATGATGAAATTGGGCATTCTCCGGGCAGCGCCTCTCTTTGGTTGCAAAAAGAAAATACGCCTGACTCTCCCAGCGCTAGGGGAGAAAAGCCCGGTTTAGCCAAAAAAGGTATGAAAAAACGGAATTTGAATTGTAGATGGGGCGGTGGGGAACTTTATCGTGTGCCAATTTCATGCCCTAGATCAATATATTCAAGATCAAATGAGGTTAAACGTGATCAAATTTGCTATAGTGACTATTTTGCGTTTATACGCCTATAGCTCTAAGAGATACTGGCCGATTTTCCTATTTCTTCCTTTATATGACATTTGTAGTGTTGTGAGAATCTCAAGTTAATCTTACCATAAATTTGGCAATTAGTGGCTTGCTTAGAGTAAGATGTCGCCGGCAGAGGCGGGGATCGGCCGACGCGGGAAACGTCATAGTCACATATTGTGTTTGCACCCTACAAATTTAGTTTTACCAGTTGATTTTCGTATTTATTTTAACATTAGATTGCCTGTACATTTTTAAGCCTTCACACAAAATTTGACACGAATCGATCATAATCAGCGGTAAGAAGCGCGGTGCAAAGATGGAACCGTCCCGCGCCGGCACAGTCTACCATTCAGGCGGCAACGGCCGGCGCCGGCCGCCGAGCCGCTCCGGCAGGAATGTTTGACTTTACACCGCTATTACTAGAAAAGTTGTGGACCGATTTACCTATTTCTTGCACGGGAGGATTTGCAATTCGATTCTGGACAGATACGTCAAGTTTGATGTTAATATAATAATTATGGCGTGAGTTATTGGCGATAAACAGGTGGAGTTGGCGAAATCGGCCCCTTCCACCGCCCGTGCTACGTTGCACTACTTGTTGCTATATCATCCAAAGTTATCGTTGGCCCACTCTAATTTTCTCAGCACGTGTGCCTTACGTCTAGTGGAAGACAATATCTAAATTTGAGCAAAATCGAAGGGTACCCATTTTTCACAAATTACATTTTAAGAAATAAATTCAAAATAAAATAAATTCAAAATCACCAAAAAATGTAAAAATTGTCAAATTTTACTAGCATAACTCCTTATGTACACGTTTCAGTTTGTTTGAAATTAATAGCTTCAAAAATGTTGAAGCTATAGATCTTTCAAGATTGCAATACACGTCCAATTCTGCTAAAAAAGCAGAAGTTTAGCGACTTGTATCTCTGTAGCCCGAGGGCATATGACAAAATCCTTTCACCCTCGGAGGTTTCACCCAATAGCCAATAAGTATACCAAGTTTGAACAAAATCGCAGAGGTGGCCGATTTTGGCTGTCCCGGTTGACATGGAATGCCCCATATGCAAGTGAATTCAACTAATTGAGGCTGAGTCTTTTGTACTAAATTTTCCTAATTGCTCCTTTTAACAGGCTTCAATGTTTGATTTATAATATGATCATAAATTTCCTGTGTGAATAATTGTTCGGCTGGTGTCGGTTAATGTTCACCTCTGAAGCCGCTGAGGCGGCCGATCCGGTCGTTCTGCCCACACGGCCCGGTTCGCCCCCGCGCCGCGATCCACAGGCCGGTCGCTCAAATGGAAATCACGCCGGGAGAAGGTGCCAACGACGACCGATAGTGGCCAGAGGGTCGCCCCGGTGGTGAAATCTCTCCCAGTGAGGGCTCCTTGGGGTCGGGTGAGATAGTGACGGGACACGGGAGAACAGATTGGCGCGTTGATCAAATGCAAGTTGAAGCGAAGTTCGCCATAGTCCTGCTGCATCTATGTTTTGACCTTGTGTTTGTTACGATCAACTGGATATGCTTTGAATAGTAACGTTGTAACTAACGGGGATGCAGCTAATAATAGATGCACGAATAAAATTACAAAAGCAACTATAACACAAACAGGTCGGCATAAATATTCATTACGTATTCATTACCAGTTAGGTGTCGGGTGTGGCGGGGGCGGCAGCCGACCGACAGGTCCACCCTCTAACCCAGCAGAGGTCAGAGACGGCTGGCTGTAACACGAGTCCGTGTACGACCGACAGGTCCACCCTCTAACCCAGCAGAGGTCAGAGACGGCTGGCTGTAACACGAGTCCGTGTACGACCGACAGGTCCATCCTCTAACCCAGCAGTCTCAGAGACAGCTGGCTGTAACACGAGTCCGTGTACGACCGACAGGTCCACCCTCTAACCCAGCAGAGGTCAGAGACGGCTGGCTGTAACACGAGTCCGTGTACGACCGACAGGTCCACCCTCTAACCCAGCAGAGGTCAGAGACGGCTGGCTGTAACGCGAGTCCGTGTACGACCGACAGGTCCACCCTCTAACCCAGCAGTCTCAGAGACAGCTGGCTGTAACACGAGTCCGTGTACGACCGACAGGTCCACCCTCTAACCCAGCAGTCTCAGAGACGGCTGGCTGTAACACGAGTCCGTGTACGACCGGCGACAGGTCCACCCTCTAACCCAGTAGAGGTCAGAGACAGAGCTGGCTGTAACACGAGTCCGTGTACGACTGACAGGTCCACCCTCTAACCCAGTAGAGGTCAGAGACAGAGCTGGTTGTAACACGAGTCCGTGTACGACCGACAGGTCCACCCTCTAACCCAGCAGAGGTCAGAGACGGCTGGCTGTAACACGAGTCCGTGTAACCCGTCTGATGGGCGCGATGGGAGGCCGCCGGAACCTCCCCTCCTCCCCCTCTCCTCTTCTGAGCTCTCCTGCCACCCTCCCTCCCTCCCTCCTCTCAGCTCTCCTCCCGCCACTCTCCCTCCCTCCTCTCAGTTTCCCCCCTGAGACTCTCACAGGTCAGAAGCGAGGCCGGATCACGAGCCGACTGCAAGGATTGGCACATTATTCAGGAGATCTTTTGTGAAAGAGACGTCCAATTACCCCGTGTT